ACATAAGATAGATCACCCGAAAAGATTTAGACTTATCTACAATATGACTACTGCTCAACGAGGTGTGCTAAGATAAAACTGCGTACTGTTTTTGACTGACCCTTCGAAAAAACCATACTGGGAGATGTTCACTCATTCCTGGATGTATGCCACCTTCAAATATATTTGAATATTAGAATATGAAATATGATCAATATTCATTGTCAGTTTATTCCAATAGGATGATAATCAATCCTAACGTAAATAAATCATTTAAAATTACCGCGAATAAATTATACGGTTGTTTAATACAATTTAATCAAACTGTTGATATCGGTAAACGTTTGTTGTACAATCTATAATTTGATTGAATTTATACTACTGAAGTGATACTTGATGTGAGAAATGATATAGATAGTGTGTGTGTGTGTGAGATCTAACCTAATTGCTCTTCTAATCAACTGTTCGATTGATGAATTAATCAGCTGACAGTATTTACATAACAATTTTGTTTTCTATTTTTTGGAGGGGGTGGGGGCGGGTATTTACAATCATCAACGATCGATTATATTCGAATATCGGTAAATAACTTTGTTAACTACGAACTTATAAACAATCGATTACTATGGTCCACTTAGTTTTCCTATTGCTCATTTACTTACGCCTGTTGCCTTCAATATAGGTGAATGCCGTCGACCAATGTTGTGCAACCTACTCTCTCCTGGGCTTCCCTTTCCAGGTCTGTTCAATTTTTATTCATTCTCCTCATGTCTGTCTCCTGTTCTCAGCGTATTGTGTGTTTTTTGGTCTTTCTCTTTTCCTTTGAACTTGAGGATTCCAGATGAGGGCTTGTGTTATGACAGAGTTAGGTGCTTTCGTCAATGTGTGCATGTTAGGATATTCATCCAATATCCTGAGGTAATTGTTTGTAAATCCAATTCTATTGGTCGATTCCTACTGGTCAATATTATGGTCGTCATAGATATCAATGTCACGTACTTCAGTATTGTTTCTTTTTGGTCGTCCTGACTATCTATGTCACTTCAAATGTTGTTTCCTATCGGTCGTCTTAACTGTAAATGTCACAGACTTCGATGCTGTTTCCTATTCGACCTAAATGTATAAATACTCATTATCTGTAACGTTTTATGACCTAGACCCGGATCTCTAGTCCGGGATCCTGATTCTTTTCTTGACTCGTTCATTATACTTTCTGGATGCTTACAGAATACGGATTCTACCTCGCATCAAGTCTTCTTCGTTTACTCAGTGGGGGTGTTGGTACGTTCAGCTTACAGTGGCCTGTCGTGTCGCCAGATCCTCAATCCTTGCTCTGGTTTACTGACTAAGGTAAACTCGTAATAATTCAAGCATATCAACTGACGTGTTTACATATCTGTGTAATAATGTCATATTCACTTTCGTCGTTTCTTCTTGATTTCTTCCATAGCTGAAAGAATCTGAGTTTGTTCTCTCTCACAATAGGTTGTTGCTGATGGTATCTTGCCAATGGATCCGTGATTTTTTAGGTAGAAAAACTTGTAGCACCTCACATACGCTAGCTTTATAGGTTAGTTGTTTAAATTATTCGATAAAAGTATCGACCATTTTCTTACATTTGTAATAATTTGATAACAGTATTGACTATTTCATATTTGAACGTTTGTGTGTGCATGCTTACTAGTCTGTTACATGTTTTCGCTTATTATTATTTGACTACAAATAGTGAGATGTGCTTCATCGTAGGCAGTGTCTACCGAAGACTGTGTATGAGATTGCGTAATTCCGTGAATTTGACCAAGTCAGACATTAACACCGTTAGATACCGGCGCATTGGTCCGATGGTTAGGCGTTCGCGCACAATACCGAAGGTCCCGGGTTCGAATCCTGCGGGGTGCAGGAGCCGCGGATGCGCACTGCTGCTGATGAGTCCCATACCAGGACGAAACGGCCTTCGTGCAGTGCTTCCAGGTTTCTAATGGTGGTCTAACATCGATCAATTCATGGTTTCGAAAAATGTCATCGTACTAAGTTAAGTCATTCGCCTTCTCTACTTCACTTCACTTTGCTGCTACACGTCTCATTCTGATATCTGTCTGCTTAAATGGAGGATGCATGAAATAAATTCATCCGTAGAACTGTATCTAGCTTCTTATTACCACCGTCTCACAAACGGCATTCGCCTAAGTATGATGATATACGCAAATGTAAAAGGGAAGATTGATTTTATTCGTCCAAGCTGTAGTCATATCGTAGATCAATAAAAATTACAAAACTAAAGAAATAAATTTACGAAAGAGATTGTTGTACATAGAAGAAAACTATTCGACTACAGTAAAGAAATGAACGAGTGAAGAAGAAAAAAAAGGCATGTGTGTTATCCGCATTTCTCTCTGCTTCAATGACATACATTTTATTCTGTTACATGTATACAATCCCTTCTCTCTGTGTAAGTCATTTTCTTTTATACCATCTTTCTTCTTCTACTTCAATGATTTTTATTTTTTTTTCTAACGAACTTTTTTTGCATTGCGTAATCAACCAGTTTGTATCTTTTTTTTGAGTCTTTTGTTATGATAATTGTTGTAGAATGTTCTTCTATATATATGAATTCATTTGTGTACAAAGTAAATTTCAATGAAGACATGACCAGTAGAGCTCAACCCTGTCATTTGGTGGCTGTAACTGTAGTGAACGAGAACACAGGTGGGGTAACCGAATTGTATTCAACGAAAATTACAGAGTTACTCAATAAAATAGGAAAACCATAACGTAAATCGTTAATTTGCAAAATATCAGTTCATCATATCGAACTGGACTGTCTGTTCCTGTTGCAAAACATCTCATCCATTGTCACTATTCATGTGTTTCATACAAATTCCATTGTGTTCCCACTTTTCTTCCTTTCTTGATCTTCCCCCATCTTCTGCTGCCAGACATTACGTTTTTACTCGCGTCATATACTACTTATAAGTAGCTCACAGCACATAACTACCACCGATGACAATGAGCAAGGTTGCACAAAAACCTTAGATTAATCAGATTAGACTATCAACACTGATTGAAAGCGATTCACTGGTCCAGAGGTTAAGCGATCGCACGCCATACCATAGGAGTTAGATTTGAATCCTGGGAGTAACAGGAGTCGTGGACGCGCAAACGAGGATGAAATGGCTTTCAAGTTTCGAATGGTGATCTAAAAATGAATCACTTATGATTTCAGTGTGTCAATTCCAAACCAATTATTAACTATCACAGGTTGTAAATCCCTGTGAAGAGTTTTATGATAATAAAAACTTTACTGTATGAGATTTTTAAATAAATAAACTGCTATTTTTATTTGTTATTGTCAGAAATTGAGAGAAGAAAATATCATTTAGATAGATACATCATATAAATACTGACTGTACAATGAACTAGTCAACTTCTGTTGGGGGTAGATTCCATACAAGAGAGAGAAAGATAGGAAGGAATCTTGCTCAGTTTTTTTTTACGCTACTACTGATTGCAAGAGATCTTTAGTGCTGAGTGTAATGAACAACGATACATTAGACTAGACTAGACTGATTATTCAAACTGATTTGTAGATAAGAACATATATAAGAATAAGGCCAAGATAATGAACCTTGTAATTCAATTTTTAAATAAATACTCTTCTATCCACTTAAAAATTGAAGTGTTTT